TGTTTAGAAATAAAGAGTTTTAATAGAGCTGAGCTGATACTCCCAAACATATTCTATAAACCAGCCCCATTGTTTTGTTTTCTTTCTTTTCTTTATACCGTATTTTGTCCAGATGTAGACCTATGACCACAAGTCAGCAAGTTTTGACATCTTAAAAATAATTCAGGAGTTACCAACATTTTCAATGATTTCTTCTTTTCTCATTTTATAGAAAAACTAGTCAAAAGATGTGGTTACTGATCTCACTACCATAAGACTGGTAGAGGTGCCAACATGGCATTCTTCTTTTGAAAAGTTGTATGTCGCTATTAAGTATTGAGAAAAATTTCTAACTAGAGAAATCATTTTATTAATCCTACTTTCTATTGTGGTTTGTGTGTATGTGTGTAAGTTATATCGTGCAAATTACCATATAAAAGTCACTTCGATGAGATTTCATTTAAATGTATTTCTCAGATTTTGCTGAATCTGAAATAGCCTTCGAAATAATATTTAAGTAACTTGGCTGTTTCTGGCATAAGATAAACAGATTTTTTTTTTCTTCCTCATTCCATAAAAAAAAGTTGACTGTAGCTTTATCATTGCAAGAAGAAACTTAACTATCATTGCCTTCACTTTAGTTGGGCCCAGTTGCTATGGTTACGGCCCTTTAACTAAATTGGGAACAGTAACCAAAATAACACTTTGCATAACATTCCCTTGTTCTGCCCACCTCTTCTTTGCACATCTACAAATCACGGTTTGGTCTGTAACACCATACTACGCCATAGTCTACTTTAGGAAATACTTTAGGCTAAGTAGTTATATTTATGCTAAATACTCTCCAAGTGGCTAGCATGGTTAACGTATTCCTGAAAATACTAACTAACAGTTACACCTTCAAAAGACCAGGCTTTAACAGACAAGGTCCATGACCTAAGATTTTTATTCTTTTCATGCATTATTAATGTGTCAGGATTTTATGCCTCAAGGCCCAGTATTTTTTTAACAAGGACACTACCCTATTAAGGAAATTAGTATTTCTGTGTGTCCACTTGGTATATGATAATATTTTATGATATTTAGACTCTTTAAAATTGAATTGCAAATCACATCCTATTTTTCTCTTTGTCATCCAGCACATTTCTTGGTTTTTATATTAATATTTATTATCGTTAACTAACGTTTGAAGATTAGTTGGTTAGGACTTCCAAAACTGAAAGTCATTGATTGATAGAGTAAAACTATAAAAAATTAGCTCTGACTTTAGCCAAATATTTAAAACATGGTTTGTTCTTTGGTGCAGTGTGTTGCGCAGATTTATTCAGCTAAATATAGACTGTACATTAGTGAGTTTCTGCAATAGAAAAGCTGACAGCTCTCTTCTTTTCATAATTATTTATAAGCAGGATTCGATGTAAATGCACTTCTGTTCAAACGTAAAGTTTCCAAGCAAACCAAAGTTATAGATAAAAACACAACATTAAATCTTGATATAAGAGAATAAAAACATTTGGAACTATTTTTTTAAGACTGAGACCAAATTCTGAGTTTTATAACGTAGCATTTCTCTTCTAGAAGCATGCCGTATTCACATAACTGTATTGTAAGCTTTCTGGCCATATTGTTGTGCATTCCACATTATTGAAAATATAAGCACTTTCTTGTAGAGGGGATTTAGTGAAAAATAAAGGAATTTTAAGTCTAAATTCGTTTACCTTTCTCATTTTCTGGAGGATTATGCCAGTAGCTAGTTCTTTTTTCTAAAAAAGGAGCAGAGTATTAGAATAAAGTATTAAACTGCAATCTACAAAATGGTTTGGAATTATTTCTCTGAAATGTTTTATTTTTATTTCTTACAGAAAGCAGCAGCTTTGAATCTGAGCTTGACATTGAAAGAAGAGAATGAAAAACACCAGCTGGATCAGAAAGAACTGGCTTCTTGTAGCTGGGGGGTCTTTAATAGGTGTCCATCTTGTAACATACTTTATACAGAGGGCTGCAAAACAGTCCGTAAAATCTCAGTCTGGAGCCAAACAAAAGAGTATTGAAGAATGAAGTAAAATAAATATTTAGAATTACTAATTTGTCATTAAATCCTTATATGCTGATTAGCTCCATAAACATCAAAATATTTAATTTTGTAGCCACGTTGCTGCATATTCATACTTTCATTCCTGAAGAATATTTTGTTTTCATGTTAAAACACATGACAGTGCAATGAAAAGAAAAATACGGTTCACACAATAAAAGCTGTCTTCACAAGTAACTACCTGAAGTAAGATGTCTCGTTTAGAAGCTAAGAAGCCATCGTTGTGTAAAAGTGAACCACTGACAAGTGAGAAAGTCAGGGCCACACTTTCTGTCTGGAAAGGAATCGTGTCGTCATGCTACGGCCCTTCGGGTAGGCTGAAGCAGGTGCACAATGGCTTTGGAGGTTACGTGTGCACAACTTCACAGTCCTCCTCCCTGCTCAGTCACCTCTTGGTCACCCATCCCATATTAAAGATCCTGACGACTTCCATGCAGAATCATGTGTCGTGCTTCAGTGATTGTGGCTTATTCACAGCCATTCTTTGCTGCAACCTGATTGAAAATGTTCAGAGAATAGGCTTGACACCCACCACCGTCATTAAACTAAATAAACGTCTTTTGCGTCTCTGCACCAATTATCTTAAGTCTGAGGCCTGTGGTTGTCGACTCCCAGTTGACTTCAGTAGTACTCAGATCCTCCTCTGTTTGGTGCGCAGCATATTAACAAGCAAACCTGCCAGTATGCTCACCAGAAAGGAAATAGATCATATCAGTACCTTGATTCTGAAAGCTTTTTTGCTTACAATTCCGGAAAAGCCTGAAGACCATATCATTTTAGGAAAGAGTATAATTGTACCATTGAAAGGTCAAAGAGTTATAGATTCTACTGTATTACCTGGAATACTCATTGAAATGTCAGAAGTTCAATTAATGAAGCTATTGCCTATCAAAAAGTCAGGTGCCCTCAAGGTGGCACTCTTTTGTACCACTTTATCGGGAGACCTTTCTGATACTGGAGAGGGAACTGTAGTGGTGAGTTGCGGGGTTTCTCTTGAAAATGCAGTTCTGGACCAGCTGCTTAACCTAGGAAGGCAGCTAGTCAGTGACCACGTAGATCTTGTCCTGTGCCAAAAAGTTATACACCCGTCTTTGAAACAGTTGCTCAGTGTGCATCGGGTTATTGCCGTAGACAGAATTGGAGTGGCCCTGATGGAACCCTTGAGTAAAGTGACAGGTAAAAATCACTCTTGGCTTTGCCCCTTACAGTTAATAAATCACACACTTTTTGAGCAGAGATATTCTTGGTTTGTGTCACTGTTAACATCTTGAAAAATTTTAGAATCTGCCAACCTCACAGCATGTGTCAGTATCATTTCTGGCAGCAACAGTTGTTTCTGGAAAAGATCCTGTATTGTTCACTTACTAAAAATGGAGCGATTATGGTCATTTTCTGTTTGTTTTTCAGCCCCGAGATATACTACGGATTTTATCATTTTCTAACCCCAAAATATTTTATAGGTTATTGATAAGTCTAGCATCCTCACAATCCTGAAGTCTTTCATCCTTTACACAAAATTCTTCTACTCGAATTTACAAAATTTTTATGACCTCAAACTCCTGAACTTTTAAATCATGTTATATTTAGAAGGTGATTTTGCAGCTAGAATACCGCTTTTCATCACTTTTATGATAACTCACCACAAACTTATACACTTCTGCCTAAATAGGTGTTTCTGATGGGGGTAGGGGGAATGCACATGTGTCTATGTTTTAACTTTATCAGAAATATTTCCAGCTGACCTTGAGAACCAAGATCATCTTTTACTTTTGGCACATACAACAGTCCTTGCCCATGACAGGTATTCTAAAATGTTTGTTGAATTCACTATAACATGTTTAGGAACATACAGAATTATTATAGGCAAGAAATTCACTGTATTTCACAAACTTGGCAAATTAAAAGCAAATAAAAGATTGATACTCACCTATTAGAGCCAAAGAAAAATGACAAGCTACAGAGTTTTGGTTCGAGCCACTTTTCAATATCCATTTAACTGCTTTGACAATCTATCAGAAAGATGATCATTTAGTTCTGCATTGTTGCAATTTTTAAGTTATTAGACTGAAACCATTGTTAAAGTTTACTATTTATAGTCATAAATCATCAAAAAGGAGCAATATGTATGTCAAGTGTTGAATACATGATATCTGGGTTATTGCCCTAACTTTGTAAGACTCAAATAATTGTCAAAGTAGAAATTACTAGGAAATAATGGAAATTATTCTTTGGAACTCATTATCGATGTTGTAGGTCAGACTCATACCCTTAAATATCTACTAGCTTTTCATGAATCTGGCAGTTTCTAGCTTGTGAATATTAGGTATTTCAGATTATGTAGTCAGTTTTTAAAATACAGAACATTTTAGCTGGGCATAGTGGTATGCACCCATAGTCCTAGCCCTTTGGGAGGGTGAGACAAGAGGATTGCTTGAGCCCAGGAGTTCAAGGCCAGCCTGAGCAGCATAGGGAGACCCTGCCTCTTTAACAAAAATAAAAGGAACATTTGGGGCCGGGCGCGGTGGCTCACGCCTGTAATCCTAGCTCTCTGGGAGGCCGAGGCAGGAGGATTGTTTGAGCTCAGGAGTTCGAAACCAGCCTGAGCAAGAGCGAGACTCTGTCTCTACTAAAATTAGAAAGAAATTAATTGGACAACTAAAAATATATAGAAAAAATTAGCCGGGCATGGTGGCGCATGCCTGTAGTCCCACCTACTTGGGAGGCTGAGGCAGGAGGATCGCTTGAGCCCAGGAGTTTGAGGTTGCTGTGAGCTAGGATGACGCCACGGCACTCTAGCCCGGGCAACACAGTGAGCCTCTGTCTCAAAAAAAATAAATAAATAAAAGGAACATTTTGCCATAGAAACAATATTGTAAATGGGGACTGTGTTTCCACACTAGCCCACAATTGTTATTTAACCCATATATGTCTAGAACATGACATTAATAACCATAGCTTTAGTCCTGCATCATGAGACAAAAGGGAAAAGGAGAGAAAAACTATCAGACACATGGCTCAGGCAAACTTCGAGAATTGGTGGAGTGTATTTTTGGCCTAATTTGTCTTCCCTGGTGGATCTAGGTTAACATTACCTCCTTTCAACCCTTCAAACAAAATTCCTATTTATCAATGATCCATGTTAAGTAGCAGATTTTACTGTTCATAGGTGACTGGCATTTGTGAAGCATACTGGGGGCTTACAGAACGTGTTTAACATTTTATTTGGTTTGATTTATTTGCGAAATAGTCATTATTATTTCTGTGTTTTTCTCTTGTGTAGGAGCCAAAAATGTTAAATGACGTGTATGACTTGCTTAGCGTCCAGTGGCTGATAAGCATTATAGCTAGGGCTTCCTGCTCCAGAATCTGTTGTTTCCACCACGTAAAATTATACCATAAGATTTAAGCCTTTTTTATTTCCTAAATTTTAGATGAGTCTTTATTCCTTATTCTTGGAGGCTTCAGAAGTAAAGAAACAATATTCAAACAAGTGAAATTGTTCAGGGATTATTTTCTAAAAATTTTTTGAGCTGAATGTGTTTTTAAACATTTTAACATCATTAGTTTGAAAGAAAATGTCATTTAAATGTTAGTTTAAAAGAACAAGAAACTGGCCTAAAAGGATGAGTGGCTCCAAATTATTTTAATCTTTAGACTTTAAATTAGCATTATTATGTCTTGTAGAAGTTTGATGTAGGATTCTTTTCTTACACAACTTCTACTGCGTTTAGAGATTTGGAAAATTCAAGTCATCCTAACTTCTTTATTCATATTTTTATTAATTCGTGATTTATAAAACTTTACTATTTTACCCTTGCAGCTAGGAAGGCAAAATACTTAATATATCAAAGAATAAAAAAGTGAAATAAGTATGACACATACTTTATTTTGCCATAATTTAGGTAGCTATTTATATACAAACTGTTGCCAGGCAAAAAATAATAATAATCCTTACCTGTTCACTAAATAGAGCCCCAAGGGAATTCAACCATGTAACTATTTGGATAGCTTTATTTGTTTTAAATTGAAAAAGCTTTTTTTAAAAAAAAAAAAAAAAAGCCTATTTCCTCACATCATCCTTATTCTAAATTAGATTCTTAATTGGGGTCTCTGATCCCCAAATGGCCTTCCACGTTTTCTGGACTTCCTGAGAATGGGTGCAAAATTTTCTGTGCCTTTTTGTGGGAAGAGAGTACAAAATGGCTTCTAACAGATGTTCAAAGAGATCCGTAAACCAAAAGAAACTCTGCTTTATTTGTATATCATTTTAATGACAGAATACTACTTATTCCATCAGGTTAAGATGCTTCTTTTTTTCTTTATCCCACGTTACACATTTTAAATGATATGCTTGTGGGACTTTTATATTGGCTAGGAATAAATACTGTAATTTTGAACGGTTGCTTGTTCCACCTTTGCTTATACATTTTGTGTTTTCTATACTTTCAAAAATAGGAACACAGCCTATTGGCTCCCTAGGCTCAATATCTCCTAGTAGTTACGGAAGTGTGAAAGATTTGTGCACTGCAAAATTTGGCTCCAAGCATTTTTTTCATCTTATTCCTAACGAAGCAACAATCTGCAGTTTGCTTCTGTGCAACAGAAATGATACTGCCTGGGATGAGCTGAAGGTGGGTAATGAAATTTGAATTCCATATCCAGGGACTGAGGCAGGAATTAAATAGTCACTCAACAGGTGCTATAATTTTGTTTTCACATTAGTGGGCCATGATTTTATTTACCCCATAACTTCACTAGGTGGTATAGAAAGCAGAAAAAAAAATGAGAGAAGCAGTCACAGTAAGCTAATTTAAATGCCTGTGACATTATAGTAGACTAGGCATGTGTTGCCATTTATTATTTCTACGATTTACGAGAAGCCGAAAAGGTCCTTGACATGCGACTAATTTTCTTAAGAAATAAGTTTGAATTGTGCACTCTTTGATGCTAATGTGTATGATTAAGTCACTTAGAAAATGAGCTCCCCAGTCAGTACTCATCGTCCACCCATTAGTAGCGTTTGTCATTCTTTGCCAGCAGTGACACATGCAACTTTTACATAAGGGAAGTGATAATCTATGGGATTGGTCACAAGTTTTAAAGATTCTTGTATGTTCAAGGACATATCCTTGGTAAATATTAAAGATCTGTGTGTTTTTCTATTTGCTATCGTTAGGTTGTAGCTGTATTATTTCCAAAACAATTTGAAATAAATTCTATATTTATATAACTGATTTATTTAGAGTGAAATACTTTTTTGGAAGAAGTACCAATAAACTTTACTGACCCACATGTCTTGCAGCCATATATTTGTAAATCTCAATTTGAGCATCTAAGTGCGTATGAAAGAAAATATTAATTTGGGTCCATGAAAACAGACTTGTGGCTAATGTATTTTTCTTTAATCTCTAATCTTTACTATTCCAAAATGTATTAACCACTTTATAACCTTCCCAACACAGGTTTTGTTCTTTTGCAATTGAAGTCAGGCTCTTTGAGTCCACTATCTGTGTGGCTTTGAGAGCATGCTTATATTTCTTCATGTATGTGATGTGCATGTCTGATTCCGATGATTTGCTTCCTTTTTAGCTCACGTGTCAAACAGCGCTGCATGTCCTTCAGTTAACAATCAAGGAACCTTGGGTTTTATTGGGAGGTGGCTGTACTGAAACTCATTTGGCTGCGTATATTAGACACAAGGTAAGTAAGATGTCCACTTTAGAGTATCTACATTCTCAGCAACTTTTATCTTATGAGACAATAAGCCAAACCATGATACCCTGGAACCTTTAACACTTAATTTTTCAATAGTCTAAGTTAGATACTGTGTTCTGAAACACTTGAGAACAATAACAAGGTAAATATAAAGTAATGCGTTTATTACAATGTTTATTATAAATTAAATCTTTTAGTAAATGATCACATTCTCTAAGTATTGTCTACATCTACTACATGTTGAAACTAACATTCTGTTATTGGGAGTTCTCATATTTGAGATCTCAACTGCTGCAGTACAGCAATATAATAACTGATGTTCACAATGAAAGGGCCAGGGTCCTACAAAATACTTCAGTGCCTTCAAGAGCATCAAGATTTAATTCATTTCATTTATTAAAGCATTCCATGTATCATATTCTATTATAATTTTTAAATTGCTATTTATGTATGATATTAATTCTATTAAATAGAATTTTTTATTAGTCTAGGAAACTCCATTTCTGGATAATTGTCGGATAAGTTTATTGCATTATAGTTCTGATTAATTATTTCATAAGTACAACCTACTTTATTTGAAAATAGATACAAAAAAGTATAAATATTTTCCACATATTTGCAGTTAATTCATTGGGTAAACAGGAGAGCTATTGAGAGGCCCTATAGAGCTTTGAGTGGGTGACTCGGATTGGAGAGAAGTAAACTTTTCTATAGATATGCCCTCCCCTGCTTCCCCAAATAACTTAAAATCTATTTGAAGTTAAAGTCCATTCATGAAAAGTCATCAGAATATACATGATGAAAACAAAATTTGTGCCAATCTATTGATATTGAATGAACAATAGTGTAATCTGTAAATGAAATCCAGTAAACTGGAGAAAGTTTTTTGGAAGAAGGAGGTGTCTGGAATAGAATTTTGAAGAAACAATACAATATTGAGGATTTGGGAAAAAAATACGCAATAGAAATTTTCTCATCTGGTTCAAACCTCCTGGTTAAAAAAAAAAAGTGGTCACTGTTTTTAAGTAGCTAGGATATGAATTTTTTAAACCCTTTTTCAATCATTAGTTTGCTAGTACAACCATATGTCAATAACAGGGATATGTTCTGAGAAATGCATTGTCAGGTGATTTCGTTGTTGTGCAAACATCATAGAGTGTACTTCGACAAACCTAGGGGTATAGCCTACTACACACCTAGGCTATATAGTGTAGCCTATGGCACCTAGGCTACAAACCTGTACAGCATGTTACTGTACTGAATACTGTTGGCAATTGTAACACAATGGTAAGTATTTTTGTATCTAAACATATCTAAACATAGAAAAGGTCAGTAAAAATATGGTATTATAATCTTACGGGACCACCATCGTATACGCAATCTGCTGTTGACTGAAATATTAGTATGTGGTACATGGCTGTATATTAATTTTTCTTTCTATCATGGAACTTCTAGGATAAACTTTTTAAAATGATGGAACCAAAAAACAGTTTAAAGTCTTATTACCTTTTCCATTAATTTAAAGAGAAGAATATTCATTTTTAAAACATTGATGTGAAAATTATACATGTCCCTAAATGGTGTCAATAATAATATGTTCATTCTCATTTTGAACATACTCAAACATTTTTCCAAGATAAATAAGTACTTCATTTGGGACATTAGTCTTCAGGAACTTCCCTCCGTGTGCATAAAAACCTATAATATGTGCATAATACCTTGTCCTTCATATATTGAGAAGGTACTACCAGGCCTTATTCAGAATAAATGATGGGGTTATTATGCTTCATTCATTCTGATAATATTGTGGCACACATTTTTACTATAACCAGCAGGTTAACTATAACCAGCCTGGCCAATTGACCCACACAAGCCTATTAGCATTTTGTCAAACCCCAAATTAAAGTAAGTAAAATAGTAACTGTATGAATAAGGTTCTGACCACGTATATTATTTTTCTTAAAGATTTTTGTATTAATTGCTCTATATGTGTTTTCAATGGTTTTATTACTCTTTAGACTCACAACGAGCCAGAAAGCATTCTCAAAGATGATGGATGTACTCAAACAGAACTTCACCTAATGGCTGAAGCATTTTGCAGTGCTCTAGAATCTCTTGCTGCCTCTTTAGAACATGATGGAGGTGAAATTCTCACTGACATGAAGTATGGACACTTTTGGTCAGTTCAGGCAGATTCTCCCTCTGCTGTTAACTGGCCAGATTTGCTTTCACAATGTGGCTGTGGATTATACAATAGCCGGGAAGAACTCAGCTGGTCTTTCTTAAGAAGCACACGCCATCCTTTTACGCCACAAACCTGCCTTCCCCATGAAGCTGTGGGCTCGGGCAGCAACCTGACCGTGGACTGTTGGACTGCTAAGCTTAGTGGCCTCGAGGTGGCTGTAGAGACAGCCAATTTGATTTTGGATCTTTCATATGTCATTGAAGATAAAAACTAACAGAATAGCATGTTTATATTACAAAACAAGCTAGTCATGTGTCAATTAAGAAAAATAGTCAGTGTGTTTGTTCTCTCCCAAAGGCCTGTTCTGCATGTTTGAACAGATGACTCATAAAATTATAAATATACTTATTTAAGGAAAAAAGGTCTGATTCATGAATAGAAATGCCATAAAGTAAAATAAAATAAAAATGTGAAGCATTGTTATTAAAGATATTATAATTATATTAGGGATTCCACAGTGACCATAGTACGTCATTCTAATTTTTTGTTGTTATTTTGACATCATGTGAAGAACATACAGAAATAAAAAATTCCTAATCCATGCTCTAGTTTAGATATACTTATTATAGATATTTTATAGTTAGCAATTACATATGTTTAAAGACAAAATTAGACTGGGCGCAGTGGCTCACGCCTGTAATCCTAGTACTCTGGGAGTCTGAGGCGGGAGGATCACTTGAGCTCAGGAGTTCAAGACCAGCCTGAGCAAGAGTGAGACCTACCTTGTCTCTACTCAAAACAGAAAAATTAGCTGGGCATGGTGGCATGTGCTTGTAGTCCCAGTTACTCAGGAGGCTGAGGCAGGATAGCGTGAGCCCAGGAGTTGGAGGCTGCAGTTAGCTACGATGACGCCACTACACTCTACCCCAGGCAAAAAAGCGAGACTCTGTCTTATAATAAATAAATACATGAATAAAGTACAAAATTAGATTGTAAAGTATCACAAAGCATTCAGTATATATTGCTTAATCTAAGTAAGTGTTCAAACTGTATATGTAGTAAAATTTCACCATTCTCCATGCCCTTTATTCAGTGGTTAGGTAATTGATGTTGAACCTGCTTTGCCTGCAATCATTAGTTTGTATGACTGTTCCACCTTTTTGTTATTTTGAGGAAATGTGTGGTTAGGGGAAAAAAGTAAGTTTATATAATAACGAAGGCTGAAATAACTCTGTAATGGCTTCACATTTAAAGTGGGAGGAAGAACTGGTTTGTTTTAGACCAGGTTTTTCACCTTTGGCCTTATTGTCTTTCTGGACCAAATAATTCTTTGTTGTGTGGGTGCTGACTCGTGCATTGTAAGTCATTTCACAGTATTCCTGGCCTCTACCACTAAGTATCAGTAGCTCACCCCAGTTGTGACAACCAAAAATGTCTCCAGACATTGCCAAATGTACCCTGAAGAACGAAACTGTCCTTGGTTGAGAACCACTATTTTAAGACTGAAAGAAAAGGAAGGAAAATAAGGAATATTCTACCAGGACTTCAGAAAGCAGCACAGAGAAAGGAACTGGAATTATTTCTCTAGCTCAGTCAATAGTGCGAAAAGAAATTAGAACAGCTCCCATATTCAAAGTAGGCACTGCTATTTCACCAAAGAATGTAATTTGAATTTTATGCAAATGCTAGGTATTTTATAAATTAAAGAAGAAATATAGAATGCAGCTAAAGGAATAATTATAGAGCTGTAACAGATGTTACATTAAACTTTAGAAAACATTTTGGAACTTTTTGGAAAATGAAACAACCTAAGAGTCAGTGATCAGATCTATAGCCATGATAAAGGGAAATAGAATTTTTGAATAATTTCCTCCAATATTCTTATAATCAAAAAGAATTTTTTGATTATAAGAAAGAAAAAATTGCAATACAAACTCACAGTAATGCTATATATTGAAAAATCAGCTACGCCTCAAGCTTCATAAAATATTTCTTTGAAGTTTTACTCCTTTTATTACTGGAGTCAAATAGAAGGGCAATGTGGTGGTCAGCCTCTAAGATGGCCCCGGTGACCCTCTCCTCCTGGTTTGCAGACCCTTGCTATAATCCCCTCCCCTTGAGTGTAGGCTGGACTTAGTGACTCCTTTATGTCACCCATTTCCCAGTTTTGTGAACAGGAATGATATGGTCATGATTATGCCTTATCCATCATTTGACTCTGGGAGTGGAGGGCAAATAACTTGTCTCTTTAGCTTCATGGGTCTATGGACGGAAAGCAACTGTGCTCCAGGAGCTATACTTAAAGAACTACCCCTGAAGAGGAACCTCAGCCACGCTGACCTGATTTGAAAGATGAGATTCTGGACTTTGGGCTGATGCTATAATGCAGTGTAACTTTGGGGGATCTTGGGAGTAGGGGGAATGTGTTTTCCATGTGTAGGCAGCCTCTAAGATGCCTCCCAGTGATTCCACCTCCTGGGAGCCCAGCCCTTTGGGTGTGGGTGGGACCTAGCTTCTAATGAATACAATAGAGCACAAATGATCAAATTTCACTTCTGATATTAGGTCGTAAAAAGATGGGCTTGTCTCATGACCCCTTGCTCTCTCACTCTGATGGACGCCAGCTCCCATGTCAGAAACTGCCCTGTGGAGAGGCCCGTATAGCAAGGGTTGAGGGAGGTTTCCAGCCAACAGCCCACAAGGAACTGAATCCTGCCAATAATGCAAGAGTGAATTTGGAAGCAGATCCTTCCTCATGGAACTTTGCAATGAGTGTAGCCCCTGCCATTGGAGCCCCATGAGAGACCCTGAAGCAGAGGACCTAGCTAAGCCACTCCCAGGTTGGTTCCTAACCCACAAAATTTTGTAAGATAATAAATTTTGCTTTAACTCAAGTTTGGGGTATACTTTGTCATGCAGCAATAGATTTCTAAGAAATGCAGAAGGAAAAGCTTATTTGTAACTACTTACTGAACACTTGGTCATACAAGTGGACAAAAGCATTCTTGATGTCATGCCTTTGTGTTTTCACTGTCACCCCAAACAGAAAAGAAGTATTCTTCATCACACGTGTTTATAATGGGGTTTTCACAGTCACTGAAGAAAGTATGCCACGTAGGAATATGGAAATTGTCCTGGTTCTCCTCGGCCCTATACTGCATTTCCAAGTTCCTCAAAGGAGGGGCGACATGGTGAGCTTCTCCAGTTGACTTTATAGGCTAGGGGCCTCCACTTTTCACGATAGCCATTTTTACCTCTGTCATTTTTAGCTTTGCCATAGAATTGGGCTACACGCCTTGCTGAAACATCAGTGTTATCGTTTTGAATATGTCACTAATTTGTTGAAATATTTTTATGAATTCATTTGTGTTTCCTGAAGTTATAATAATCCTTCATAGAAAATACTGGAAATGGGGGTGGGGGGAAACAACCCCTGTCTTAATAGTTCGAGAAAATCATTCAAACTCAGATAGTAAAACATGAGATGAAAATTCTTGTTGAAAATAATTTCAGAGAAGTTCATTTTGGCAGCAATAAATGACAAGAAAAAATAGCAACTAAGTTAAGCCTCAGGCACCATTTTGTGACTTAAAGTAAGATCGAGGTCTGAATAGTGCATTATTAGGTACCTCGGGAGATGGAACAGGAAACCCTGAGAGCTATAAAAAAGAACAGGAGGAGTATGCAGAAGAGAATGAAGTCGGTGACAGCTGTTCGATACTTTTGCAGGACTCACAGGACATGTAGCATGAAAGATTATTGAACCAAGGAGTCCAACAGGATTATCATCTTATTAGTCAAAAGAGGTTAGGATTTTGTCAGCAAGAAAAAAGGTGGAGAACTAAAGCAAATTAAAAGAGCCTTGTAAGTCAAAACACTTATTTGAGCTTAAAAATACCCCACTCCTTAATTCCTCCATTTGTACTATACTAGAGAATCTTTGTATGTTAGACATTTTACATCAACCGTTAGACTGAAGCATTTTACTGAAAAGTGGAGTATTTTACACAAGATGCTTAAATTATATATTATTAGTATCTTTTATCGTAAGTATCTTTGAACTTATTTAATTTGTATCATCAAAGCTACTTAGATATTCATATGATAGAAATTTTAAGCACCCCTATACCAGCCATCATACTCTATATTTTTATGTTGTTGAACAGTTCTTTGGATAACTTTAAAATAATATTGTTTACAGTCACAGAAATTATACAGGTTATTATTTAAGAGTGTCATGTACAAAAATCACTCTCATAATCAATGCAGGCCCTGTCAAAACATCCAGTTAGTTAGGTTATACCTTTGTGATAATCTTTGGGGAATAGTCAGAGAGACTAAACATCTCTTATGGGGCTCTGTTTCAGCTGTCTAAATAAATCTATCTCTAAATCTGAAGGAAAAGTCAATATTGAATATCTGATATCTTTATAATTTTTTTTTCATGTAGTTAAGTGGTCCCCTTTAGTAACTTTGGTATCTCATAATCCTTGGAAATTTTTGCCACTCACCTACAAAATTTGAATTTAGATGCATCTAAACCCAGTGTTGGCCTGTATTTTTGGATTATGAGTAGATTTATATGCTTCTTCATTAAGAATATACTAATATTCATAAAAGAGAATGCATTCTCTGAAAACCATTCCTATATGTAAATCAAGCCTTTCATTGGAGAAATGATTAGACTTGGCGCACTAAACACCTGGGAATACTAGTACCAGTAATAAATTGTGAATTTAGAGGGAAATAAAACAGCTTGACAATCTCCTGTTAAAATTCACATTGAGGAAATATTTATAACAAACATCCCATTTTAGCCCTATTGTTTTAATTTGGAATATTGCAGTTTTATTTGGGGAAGTTTTAATTGAGCTCTTTTTTGTTTGCCAGACAATGGTTAAGAGTATTGGAGGAAAGGGGGAAAAAAAAAAAACAACTATTTGTTCATAGTCTCTGACATCAAGGAGCTGATCATTTTATGATGACATTAAAAAAAGTCATCATTTTTAAATTTTTAAAAATATTTTTCTTTTATAAAAGGTTAATTTTATAAAATTAATATAAACATTATGTTGTAATAGAACATTGGGGAAATATGAATCAGACACACGAAAGGAAAATAAAGTCAAGTATAGGCCCACTATCCAAAGATAAATACTGTTTATATTTTATGTCCATTTTTTCTGTTAACTTTCTATATATATTTTTCCAAAAAGATGATCATACAGTATGCTCTGTTCTGTTTTATAATCTGTTCCTTTTACTTAACATGTCATGAACATCGTAAATATGTACAATTAGTACACATTCTACTACTATACCATTTTTA